CTACAGGGCAGCAAAGCCACGCCCACCTCACCTGGAAATGCTACATCTGTCTTCACTCTTACATCATGGCAATGTAATATCTCCATTGCTCTTCCATCTCCCCCCACATCCCGCTTTGCATAACATCCAGCTTATGGAAGAGCTCTGGAGAAGATGAAAGCTTGCTCACTTACCTTGTGCCATTTTAGTTGGGCCTCATGGAGGCATTGCCCGACCATGATTTTTAGATAATTATTTTTCCCAAGTGAACCAGCACAGCTGCCTACACCCCATGGTGCTAATGGAGGTGAGTGGGACCCTCTTCCTGTTTTTCTTGGCTTTCCTGTTCCTGCATGTGCCTCTTCCGTGGCCCTTGAAGCATGTTATAGCCCCCATTTTTAACATTGCTGTAGCATCTGCAAATGCTAAAATAGCTCCGTAACAAGGATGGATTAAATTTCCCATAGTGAATGGAGATTTAGGTTCTGGCAGCATAATGTGTAACTGATCTTAGGCTTTATTTGAACCAAGTAGCCTTCAAAACATCCACTACTCAAGACTGGAAACAAAATAGTTTTAATAGAGATGTGGATTCCCCCCGCCCCCGCCCCCTGCATTTATTATTTTTTAGTTCAAATAGATAAGTTGCAATGAAGCATTCATTTTGGGGGGAGGGAGAAATCTTTTTCTGAAGTGGGTAGATTTATGGGAACCTATCTATGGTGAAGAACCCAGCAAGAAGTATTGCCATTTTGCTACATTCCTAATGTTTGGGGCAATCAAGTTTAAATATATATAATTTTCAGAGCGTAAAACATGTGAAGTTATAGCCTAGCTAAAATATAATTCAGTTAGTCAGTTAAACAATGATATATCATCAAAGAGCTTTGAACTATGGCCAGAGTGTACCAAGCATTTAAAAAACTGGTAACCACAGAGATATTTCTATAAGGAATGTTCACCTCATGGGGATTCTTTAAAGGTGCTTCATGTTGTTAGTTTCTTTCTTTCTCTTTTTTACAAAGTTATAGCTCTGCTTTATTGTACATGATGTCCTATAAAGAAGATCTATGTCTGCGATACCTCTTTGAAAGAGGACCACGGTGCTATCCGTTTAAAAGAGAACGCAGTCAAGCAGTAAATTTAGGGGGCCATCTCTTTTCATATTGACTGTATCTGAGCCAGCAGTGGCTCTTTGATGTTGTAACAATAGCGCATAGGCCGAGAGGAGTATTAGGGCTTGAACAATGTCGAAATGAAGCTGCATTCATTAGTTTCAAAGAGAGAGGCTTCTAATGTGTAGCAGAACTTTATTTCTGCATGCTTCCTTGCTTCTTGCAGGAAGAGATTGTGCGGCGTCTGTCATATAGTTTTTGTACAATTTCAGCCTGGAGTCTCTTGCGCTTATCATTTTTTAATTATAAACCAGGTGCTGTGGAAACTTGCATTGTACACTAGGTGCTTTACTAGTTACATAAAGGCAGCAAGAAATTTCTTTCACCCCACGGGCCTCTCAAACCCACCAGCTTAGGCTACATAGCATAGAAGAAAACACTAACCGGTTCAGATAGTTTAGTGTCAGCAACATTTGAGAACTAGGCATGTTATTAGTTTCACAGTCCAGCTAATTCTAGGCCTTAAATAGTCAGATGCTTATTAAAGACAATGTTGTTTTGTTCTCAGAAACTATTCTGAATAACCATTAGCATTCCTGGTAGTTCCCACGCTTTACATATTCCAGATTCGAAACAAAATAAAAAAATTCCTTCCAGGAGCACCTTAGAGACCAACTAAGTTTGTCATTGGTATGAGCTTTCGTGTGCATGCACACTTCTTTAGATGCACTGAAACAGAAGTCACCAGACCCTTATATATAGTGAGAGGGTGGGGAAGGGTATTACTCAGAAGGGTGGTGGGAGTGGGTGATTGGCAGATAGGTGTGGTAAACCTGTTGACGACTGGACTGCAATTGGTCTTACAGGAAAAAGCAAGGGGTGAGATGGCTAAAAATAGCTTTATCATGTATAATGAGATAAGAATCCAATGTCTCTATTCAGACCAGGTCTCTCCATGGTTCTAAGTTTGGTAATAAGTTGCAATACAGCAACTTCTCTTTCCAGTCTATTTCTGAAATTCTTTTGTAATAAGACAGCTACTTTGAGATCTTGTGTAGAATGTCCTGGGAGACTGAAGTGTTCTACTGGTTTCTCTGTCTCATGATTCCTGAGGTCAGATTTATGTCCATTTATCCTTTGGCATAGGGTATTCCAGAGTGTATCATTCAAAACACTAAACGATTCTCATTCTACGTAACAAGGGTGCTTGCAGCATAAACTGGGTGTCTGGAGCAGCAAACACTAAGATGGAAACATGCTTTTTGTGGGCACACCTGGAGGGAACATATCCCAGGAAGGCCCAACAAATGTACTTTCAGCACCTTTGCCACATAAAGTGAAAACCAACTTGCAGTTGACAACATACGATTGACATACAGCAACCAGAGAAGAATTTGGGGTTTTGAATTCTCACATCTCCTTTTGAGGCGAGCATTACCAAGCCCACAGAGAATTGTTTCTGATTTAAACTCTGGTAAATGCCAACGACACTTTCACAAATGAAGGAAAGAGACCACAGGTGCAATTCCCTTGACACCCAGGGCATTTGCTTCTATAAACAAGAGCCCCAAACATCTTTTGTTTAAATAGATTGCCTCTCCCCAGATGACCCTGCTTTTTTCAAATATAACACCCTTCTGTTACAGTCAGAAGTTAAAGCCCCAGGAGGACGCAGTGGGCAAGCGTTATATTTGAAAAGGCAAGGTTCATCCTGGGAGAGGCAATCTGTTGAAGCACAAGATGTTTTTTGGTCTCTGAATCTCTGGTGAAATCCTTGTTCCTTGTGAGCCATGTCGACAAAATGCTTTCAAGACACCAAGGGAAACACCATTTGACAGGCGGTGGATACACAAATATATTTAGCAAGGAGATGGTGAATGATCTTGGGGAGTGGGCAGGAGGAGAGGCAAAGAGCAGAGAGCAGCTGCCTGCTGGAAACTACAGACAGCTCTGAGAACCTGCATGCTTTTAACGCTGCAGGGTTTTTCTACCATGTTGCAAGAATTGAAGACCCACATGAAGTCAACCTGAAAAGGAGACTATCTAGATATAGCAGTTAACAACTCGCTGCAGACCTCAGTGTGGAGTAGTGGCTAGAGTCTCAGACTAGGACCTGTGAAATCCAGGTTGAAATCTTATTTAGGGCCTTTCTACACTTTCCATTTTTATAGCATAATGGTTGCTGAGTTTTTCAGATTTTTTTGACACATTGCTGCATGACGTCAGCATGCATATTCCAGCTAGTATTCCAGAATAATGTACTTGGAAATCTGCTGCTTCTTATACCGTAAGGAATCCAACTTGGTGAAAGATCCAGAATGGATCCTCAATATTTTTAGTTGTGTGGCATGGGGGACAAGCATTGTCCCGTTCTTTGTGTGAAGGGTGGTGGGGGTCAACGGCAATAGTTTGGAAGACGTCTGTTTCGTGCTGCTTCCCTTGGACCACTGTGGGCTGTCGGTTTGAGAGCAGAGTTCAGAGGAGAGTTGTGGCAGATAGAGATGATGGTACTGAGTCAACATCTGATCCATGACAACAATCATTAGCTGCAGACAAAATTTTGCCACAAAAACCAGGTTTGCAAGAAGTGCACTTCCTCTTCCGATTTCCTATACAGTGGTACCTCGGGTTACATACGCTTCAGGTTACAGACTCCACTAACCCAGAAATAGTGCTTTAGGTTAAGAACTTTGCTTCTGGATGAGAACAGAAATTGGGCTCCGGCGGCACGGCAGCAGCAGGAGGCCCCATTAGCTAAGGTTAAGAACAGTTTCAGGTTAAGAACGGACCTCCAGAATGAATTAAATACTTAACCCGAGGTATCACTGTACTTCCACAAGGTCAATATTCTGGGGTACTAGGCATTAAAAATAAATAAATTAAAAAGGGCTGGCCCCCTCAGCATGCTGATATTTAATGGCTAGAGGAACACAAGGACACTCTAGGAGTGTGAACGTAACCACTGAACTTTTCTCAGTTTGGGCAAAGCTCACTATGACCATGGAAAGGAAAACCCTGCACTCACTCTCTTAACATTTGTATCAGCTACAAAGTCAAGTCTTTAAAATGTTGAATCAAACAGTGACTATTCCACTATAAATGGTCAGTGTGAAAAGCCCCTGAGTTGTGACGCTCATTGGGTAATCAATTACTGTCGTGTAGCCCGAGCTACCTGACAAAGCTGTTGTGATGAGAAAATGAGGGGGAATCGGTGGCTTAAAAGTGAATGTGCAAAACGTTTGTGCATGGGGCTAAACTCACGACTGCTTTGCTCATCTCCTGCTCCTACAAGGAGCTAACCCATGGTTTGGCTTAGGGTTCCCCCAGGCAAATGGCAAGCGGCAATCCAGGAGCAAACCATTGTTAGAGTGGGGGAGAAGCAAAGTGAACGCCATTTTTGCCAGTGTACCACCACACCTTTAAAGCATAGTTATTAAGCGTAGGGACGCGGGTGGCGCTGTGGGTAAAAGCCTCAGCGCCTAGGGCTTGCCGGTCGAAAGGTCGGCGGTTCGAATCCCCGCGGCGGGGTGCGCTCCCGTTGCTCGGTCCCAGTGCCTGCCAACCTAGCAGTTTGAAAGCACCTCCGGGTGCAAGTAGATAAATAGGGACCGCTTACTAGCGGGAAGGTAAACGGCGTTTCCGTGTGCGGCTCTGGCTCGCCAGAGCAGCGATGTCACACTGGCCACGTGACCCGGAAGTGTCTGCGGACAGCGCTGGCCCCCGGCCTCTTGAGTGAGATGGGCGCACAACCCTAGAGTCTGTCAAGACTGGCCCGTACGGGCAGGGGTACCTTTACCTTTATTAAGCGTAACTGTGACATGTAAACCAACCCACTGTGTTCTGCTAACTCTTGTTCGTCTTTCTTGTTTGCTGTGTGTAATCTTGGTGTTTGCTTCTCGCCCCCAGGATGCCCTCCACACAGATGGTCTTCCGTCACCTGAAGCCAGCTTTACACTAAACCCTGAGGACAGACGGAATTATCCTGACCACCATGTAGCTCACAAATCGTTCACCAAGCAGCGATTCAGGCAAGAGAATGGGCATACAGCTTTGCAAAGAGATGGGCCCAGGCCATTCCTTCTGGATCTCCCAAACTTTCCTGACCTCTCAAAAGCAGACATCAATGGGCAAAACCCAAACATCCAGGTAAAAAAATCTTCTTTCCTATTTAGGCTCATACTTAAATCATGGAATAACCAGTGTCTAACAAAGGTACAATTTCATTCACGAAACCTACAAGCCACATGGGAAACAAGAAATGTAAGAAAGGAGTTTTTCCTCCCCCAGGTTTCCATTTGCCATACAGCTAAGGTGGTTGGTGAATGGATTGATTGATCTGTTCAAATAGATGGATTATTCTATTCAAAAGGTATATTGTTGGTGTCAATATGATAAAACATATTATCAACATGAAGCAAAATACCTACAGACCAATTTCTTAGCAAACCCTGCAACAAAGGTCATGCATTGAAAGTTAAAGTAAATGTGGAGATGTCTGGCACAAGTTCTTTGGAACTTTATTCATCTGACTGAAGATGTTTTGCTGCAATTAAACAGTAAACGTGTGGTGCTGAAACACTCACATAGCTTCTTTGAAATAGTTTGGACCTGCTGTGCCTAGAATATTGTATAAGAGGACTGGTTCAAATGTTGAAGTGAGCCCAGAAAACAAAACCTTATGGATAAACATTAGCTAGAATGGAAATAAACCACTGAACTGTGGAACAGGGACAAAACACATAACTTGAAACAAACACTAGACTTCGAGCAACTTCCTCCAAAATCATCAGCCAGAACATTTGCAATATTTTAGAGCAGAATTGTTTGCCTGAAAATGACACATTGCTTTGTATATGTCACTGGTTTAATGTCAGAATCTGCTATGAGTTGCACCCAATGTTAGTTCTATCCATTGAGTGGACCTACTGAAATTAAATAAAAAACGAGTAACTTGCATATATTAATTTCAGTGGGTATACTCTGAGGAGAACAATAACAAACATGGGATACAACCATATACAGAAGATTTTCAGGTAGACATGTATAACTTATTCTACTGTTCCCCCACATGTACACTTAAAAATAAACACTTCCTTGGGCTTTCTTACAATAAAGGTAGATAAGTTGTTTTTTAAATGTTTGCAATACAAGACAGCAGTCAGTCACTGACAATAGTCTTGCACAAAATTTCGAGACTTGTTCTACATGGTGCCAGTTGAAATGAATACAGTGCCTGTCTGTTTACTCATTATTTGGCTCAATCTTTCCCAGAAATGAAATATTTTTATTCAGCCCCTTTTCCATTTGTGCAATTGTTTCAGTATTAGCAAGACAAGGAGACATTTGAAAAGGGTAACCCAAGCAGCTGTTACTTTTGTGCTACGGATGCTTTTTTAAACGCCGTTGCCAAATCAGCAGCCAAATGCACCACTGCACTCAAGTAAACGAATTCACAGGAAGTCCTTGAAAATGAGGTGCTTTTTTAAAAAAGCCAGTAACATATTTCCTTGGGGATCAGAGATTTTCTTCGTTCTTGGTGAAAAGCTCTTTTGTTGATCGCCCATTGATTTGACACATGCCAGCTCATGCGGTCATGCCAGCAGCGCAAGGCTATTCAGGGTGCAACAGCTTCACTTTCTTTTCCTTCGAAACAAAGTGAAGTCATGTGTCGAGCCAATAATTTGGCTGCCAAAATTTTTTTCTGTGTGATGTTCTTTTTTTCCCCCTTCGGTTTCCCAGCCTATTTAAATGTGTACCAACTGTGAGGAGCTCCTGGGCTTGGATTCCGATACCTCGCTGCTTCTGTTTTTGTGAACTCTCCTCTTCCTCCACTTTTTAAGTCACCGTTTCTCACATTTCCAGAGCACATTAATTCTATGCGGCATAAACAAGAACAAAGTGTCCTGTGGCACCTCTGTCCTTCTCTGAACCTTTGCTCCCTGCCTCTTCTCCTCTTTAAAAGGAAACCCAAACAAAAAAGTCAATATTGGTGATGCTAGTAGTACAAACCTCCCTAGGCCTAATCTACTTCTTCCACTAACTGAGGACCAGTCTGACAGAAGACAGCAGACATCCTTTCTGTTTGTTGCATGCGTACACACACACACACACACACACAGTGATACCTCGGAGGTTAAACAGAATCCGTTCCAGAAACCAAGTCGCAGCTTCCAGTTGGCTGCAGGAAGCTTCTGCAGCCAATTGGAAGCCATAGAAGTCACCTCGGATGTTTGGGTTCCAAAGAACGTTCGCAAACCGGAACACTCACTTCCAGGTTTGCGGCGTTCGGGAGCCAAAACATTTGACTCGCAAGGCCTTCGGGATCCAAGGTACGACTGTATATGGATTCCTTTCCCCCTCCCTTGCAAGTTCCAGATGACACTTGCCTTTTGTCTTGGCTTGACAAAATCTTTCACTGGCCTGTCAACATATTTTTCTTTCTTTCTTGGATTGGTGTTTGGGACATAGCTGTAGAGACCTGAATACTTACTTGCCTGCTGTCTCGAATTCTCCAGGTGACTATAGAAGTTGTTGATGGGCCAGACTCTGAACCAGAGAAGGATCTCCGAAAGGAAGGCAGCAAACCCAGCTGGCCTGTCCCATCACCAGACTGGAGGAACTGGTGGCAGAGATCAGCACCCACGGTCACCCGCATGAGTAGCGGGGACCAGGATTACAAGTATGACAGCACAACCGAAGACAGCAACTTCCTGAACCCCGTTGGTGGTGGGTGGGAAAGTCACGCACCTAGTCACCGGACATTTGACTCAAAGGCACAGCCAGAGTATGGTGAGTGAGCCTTCTGAATCCCTTGTTTGTAGCACCTCAGGTTGGTAGCAGTGCTCTGCAGGTGAGGAACCATCAGCAGTGGAAACGTGAGGTGGGGCAGAGCCACAGGGGGCAGAAGTAGGTGCTTCCGACACCAGCATTCCTGCTTCTTACCTGGACTTGGTTGGGGGAGGGTGGCATGAGGTAGGGAGCACGCAGGGGCACCGGTGGAACCAGTCTTGTGCATCTGCACAACTTTGCCACCCCCCGGCGCTGCACTAACAGGGAAGCAGGTGTTGGGAGGGCAGTCGCCACTACGGAGAGTGACTGGGCACCAAAGATAATAAGAGGGAAGGGAGGGTCAGGGGCACAGGTGAGAGAGAAAAGGAATTGTGTTTCAGTTATTTCAGATTAACTGATTCCCTGAGGTTTAGATAATATATACTATGCACTGATACCGATCTTCTCTGACTATCGTGTAGCCAAAGCACACCCACTTACACAGGAGAGGGAAGTATCAGCTGGCTCAAGGGAACCCCAGAATTTGCAGAAGCAAACATAAACTTTGTGGGGAAGGGAGGGGAAGCCAAATCAGCTCACTAAGGTCTGAGCATGTTCAGTGAGCATGGAATGGAAAACTGGGGCGGGAAGCGATAGGATAGAGTATCCCAAGAAAAGGCAATGCTGACTCGCATTGTGAACAGCAACAAATGTTTTGTTGAAGACACCACTTAATATCCGAGCCAGTCCTCAGATAGCAACACGTATTGTCTTTTTGCCATTTCTACTTTTATAATCAAACATTTACTTGTTTACCAGCTAGTTCTCTTCTTTTTTTTCTTGTTCCTCCCTTGCAGATTACATAGATGGGGAAGGAGACTGGAGCCCCTGGTCTATTTGTAGTATAACCTGTGGCAACGGCAATCAGAAGCGCACCAGAACCTGTGGCTATGCCTGCACAGCCACCGAATCAAGGACATGTGACAGGCCCAACTGTCCAGGTTAGGCTCCGCTTAATTGCTTTGACCTGAACGGCACAACTGCTTGCAACCCTTCGCTGGTAAAAATTATCATATTAAAATAATAGGAGGAGATGCTTCCCCATATCTGAAATTATCAGCTTTGTTGTGCCTTCAAGGCAGAGCCAGATGCTTTTCCTTTCTGAAGGGCCTTCAGGAGCACTGCTCATGCTGTGTGCCTCAGATTTCAACAGAGCCTACAGAGATGTAGGCAAGAGAGACCTGCATTTCTTGCGAGATACACTAGATGGGGTACTGTAGGAAATAAGAGTATCCTGCCTTCTGAAGTTCTAATTGCATTAACTTTATTGTATTGCTTAAAAAGATAAGTGCTAAGAGAATTAAGATGCTTTGGTGTTTTTGCAGTGACATCAGGTTTCAAAGTGTAGAGAAAGAGAGCAATATGCAAAATGAGATGATCAAGTCAGCCATAGCAGTTCAAAGCCTAATGCCTTGGATGTGGCACCTTGGCTAAACTATGACTCTTGCACACACATCACTAGTGGGGTCAGGGAGGCCCTTCACTCAGATGTGAACATGCTGGTAACTACACATCAGCTTAGGCAATGGAGCCCTCCCCTGATATTTCTCATTCATCCCTCCATCACGGCCTGTATTTAGATGCAAAAGTGCAACTAGAAAACACATTGAGATCTTCAGGGAATTCTTACTTGTGGAAAGAGCATTAGCACCATTTTTAAAAAAGCATATTCATTAATCATGCTACTATTATTATTTCATTGCTTTATTATGTCAAATAAAATGTCTCAGAGCAACATACAGATCCATAAAACTACAAACAGCATTAAAAACTAAAAGTTAAAAACCAGATGGGGGAAAAAACACCACCCCAAGATGTAATAAACACAAATTCAAACAATGCTATGAAAATAAGAAAGCGTTCCCCTGACCTAAATGGTGAGCACCACAAAAAAGGCCAAATTCATACCAGAGAATGTTCCAGATTAATAACCCAATGCCTGGGCAATATGGAGTGTCTCAACCTGGCGCCTGACAGCTGGCACTGACGGCGCCATGTTTGTTTCCTTGGAAGGAGCATGATGACACAGTAGAAATTGCCCAAGGATTTGCCAAAGAGAATGAACCCTCCCCCTCATTAGAACTCCACTGAGAATTTGGAAATGTCAAGGGCAAAAACTAAACTGCTATGAATTTTGCCTTCAAGGTAGGTTCTTGGGTATCTTGCTCAACAAACTTTCCATAACTTGTAGGGAGGGTACGTGTCTGGAACAACGGCAAGGGAAAGCTCATCTGAACAAATAACTGTGCCTTCAGCTTACAAAGATAATTTGGTGATACGTCTCCAGAATTGTCATGTGTAATGCTGACATGCCAATTTGAGGATGTGCGTTGCGGAATGCACATAGTTTTAGGCTACATAGAAAGTGGCATCTTTGCTTTATTTAAGGAATTTTTTTCCACTTGATTGTTTTTTATGGGATAGCAACCTTGATTTTTTGGTCCGCCCACCGCCCCGCATCTCCCCTTTCTGTTGTCAACAGGAATAGAAGCATGAAAATAGCAACCCGAAGTCAACCACCTTAGACAGTGCAGTTTAAATTGACTAGCCCTAGACTCTGCATCTGTGTGATGCATGTTTGAGGGGGGGAAAGGCAAGGCTCGGTCTCAAAGGTGCTGCTAATATCTGCTTGGCATAGAGGCACCTAGCTCAACAGAGCAGCATCTTTCAGACAGAGGATTGCCTTTGTTGTCCAAATACATTTTCCAAACAATGTAAACTTTGTTTACAAGTCGCTTCCACCTGACCCAGCTGGAGCTGAAGGGGGTGTGTGGAATCAGGTGGTTCATTTTCTGCTCATGTGGTTAGGTCATTTAAACATGGCCCCAGATAAGATGTTCCTGCACAGCTGAGAGAACATCTGCAGGCATTTTTTGTTGTTGTTGTTGTTCCTCTCATGTTGGGGTGGTTTCTTAAGGTCTGGATTTATTAATAGCCCAAATATTTGCACCACCGTGTCTGTCAGCCACATTGTCTTCATCAGCCTGCAACACCAGTATGTAGTACATCCTGTTTTTTGTAAAAATAAAATAAAAATCTGCTTGCGTAGCAGTCGAAAACTCCTCTGCTCAGCACTCGTTTGCTGGCACTGCAAGCAGAAAATAATGAAAAACTGTCTTGCGACTTAAGTTTCCAGTCGCTGGCAGTTATAAGCGATTGCTGTGATGTTCAGAGAAACATAACCATTCAGAAGGTACTTAATGGCACCAGCGAGTAGTATCAGGTATTCATCTCAAGTCAATATTAAAATATTTGAGAGAGGGGATGGTGTCAGAGAAGGGTGGGAGGACATTTGTTTTGACCTTTGTATTAAAGTGCAAGACTGCTGAGGCTCAGAAGTAATTTTCATTCTCTTAGGTTCTTTCTCATTCTCTCTGATTCGAAAGCAAGAGCTTTAACCAATTTTAATATTGTCTTTTTATATTGCTGTTGTAACCTTCCCCTGGGACCTCATGGTGACAGATGGTTAAGAAATCCAATAAACTAAAAGTAAGAGTGACGACATGAATGTTTATAGGAACATAAGAAATCAGTGGGATACTAATGCAAGCCTAGTTTCTCTACTGCCTTGTATTATGTGCCGTTACTGAAAAAATATATTTATATACCCTGCTTTCTTCAGGGATTGAAGACACCTTCAGGACAGCAGCAACAGAAGTGAGTTTGCTCGCAGGAAGCGAAGAATTCAATGCCACAAAGCTGTTTGAAGTCGGTAAGCAGATAGGAGCAGAGGGTTCTCTTCCTTCAGAGCTAGATGATGCAGGCAGACTTCAATCTGTGTGACAGTTTCCCCCTAGGACACTTCTGAGAAGGTGCTGTGAGGGAGCACTCAAATATTTCCCATCTTTGTAATGTGTGGGTTTTGACTGAGCCAGTTACACATTGTTCAGCAGCCATTCCCAGTGGGCTTTCTAAAGGAAAAACGTTGGACTAAACGTTTCTGCCTCCAGCTTTCTTGAATCATTGCAAATTCGTTATTCAAAAACAAAAGGCAAAAATTTGAATACTACAGCTGCACGTAATATGTTCTGGGTGACTGATTACGTTCAGGGTGACTCTGCAACCAACAGGTAGCACTCCAAAATCTGTCCATGCTGGCCAAGACATGGTTAATCCAGAGCATTGTTTATGGGATGCAAAAGCATTGCTTGGAGCAAGGCTGAGGATTTTCTTAAAACTTGCACAAAGGTTTGACTCTGTTCTTTATTCCAGATGCAGATCCTCACTTCATCATTCATGAGTGTTCTGCTAGTGTCATATCCTGACTTGCACAGATATCTTGCTGTCTCCCCACATATTACAAGTCTGGAATGTGAGCCACTTATGGCTTCAGTTATAAAGGAGCTGTTTCAATATCATCCGTTAAGATTATAGTTCCAGTGTCTCTGTGCAGCTGCATTCAAGAGGCCCTCACAGAGGCGGGGGGGGGGGGTGCTCTGCCAAATTTTAACCCACATTTTATTTTTTAATCATAAGGGAACCTCATGAAAACTAGGTGCACTACAATGCACTCACTTCAGCTTTAGTGTAGCTAAAGAATGCACAGTATATTTTCAGAAGATTGATATTGATATATGGAAGGGCAAAAATACAGCCCCCTTTGATCAATGGACAGATGATACTACAACTCTTGCAACACGTGAATGGATTGCTTTCAGACGAAGATTATACATGGACAAATTTAAATGATATTTGGAACGTATTTATGAAAACCATAGTGGCTCATGAGTTACCATATGCTTGAGAGAAACAATAAGTTTAATCCATCGACATATATACAGTGGTGCCCCGCAAGACGAATGCCTCGCAAGATGGAAAACCCGCTAGACCAAAGGTTTTTCCGTTTCTGAGTTGCTTCGCAAGACGATTTTCCCTATGGGCTTGCTTCGCAAGACGAAACGTCTTGCTAGTCTTGCGTCCCCGTCCCCCCCGCTTTCCCCCCCTTTTTGTAAGCCGCTAAGCTGCTAATAGCCTTTTAGCAGCTTAGCCGCTAATCCTTTAATAGCCGCTAAGCCGCTAAAGCGCTAATCCGCTTAACCGCTAATAGGGTTGCTTCGCAAGACGAAAAAACTGCTAGACGAAGAGAATCGCGGAACGGATTCTTTTCGTCTTGCGAGGCACCACTGTACTATATAGTTTGGTAGCATTAATTACCGTATTTTTCGCTCTATAAGACGCACCAGACCACAAGACGCACCAAGTTTTTGGAGGAGGAAAACAAGAAAAAAATATATTCTAAATCTCAGAAGCCAGAACAGCAAGAGGGATCGCTGCGCAGTGAAAGCAGCAATCCCTCTTGCTGTTCTGGCTTCTGTGATAGCTGCGCAGCCTGCATTCACTCCAGAAGACGCTCACACATTTCCCCTTACTTTTTAGGAGGGAAAAAGTGAGTCTTCTAGAGCAAAAAATACGGTAGATGTTACGGTTATTTTGTTATTGCTGTTTTCCTCTGCTTTAAAAAAAAAATCAGTTTTCTTTTTCCCTTTTCTGTTCTTTTCTTTTCATATTTACTTTTACTCACTATAATCATCTTAATAATAATAATATCTTTTCTTCTGACAAGATGCACACTCCATAGGGAAAGGCTGACATATTGACATATCACACATTGACAGTGAAACTGGTACAATTCAAAGTGTTGGTTCTGACCTTTAAAGCCCTAAACGGCCCAGACACTGAAGTCCTCCTCCGAAGGTCTTCTGCTTGTTCCCTCACTACGAGAAGTGAAGTTACAGGGAACCAGGCAGAGGGCCTTCTCGGTAGTGGCACCCACCCCTTGGAACGCCCTCCCATCAGATGTCAAGGAAATAAACAACTATCTGACTTTTAGAAGACATCTGAAGGCAGCCCTATTTAGGGAAGTTTTTAATGTTTGATGGGCAGGGTATAAATAATAAAAAAATTGTTTTTGCTGCATGTTTTCCAGGGCCTTAAAATGTTTTTAAAATAATATTGGAATTGATTTTGTGATAGAACACAAAGCAAACCCTTGACTACCGGAGTGTGATGTTAGCTAAACGCTGTCAAAATCCTGCATTTTTGTCATCTCTGAAACACAGTCAAGTTCTCCTTGTGTCCCTTTTCTACTGTCCAGATACTGACAGCTGTGAGAGGTGGATGAGCTGCAAGAGTGAATTCTTAAAGAAGTACATGCACAAAGTGGTCAACGACCTCCCTGCTTGCCCTTGCACGTATCCCACGGAGGTTGCCTACAGCACGGCCGATATCTACGACCGGCTTAAGCGGAAAAATTTTCGCTGGAAAGATGCGAGTGGGCCAAAGGAAAAACTGGAGATCTATAAGCCGACCGCTCGCTATTGCATCCGGTCCATGCTGTCTTTGGAAAGTACCACCCTGGCTGCACAGCACTGTTGCTACGACGACATCATGCAGCTGATCACAAGGGGCAAAGGAGCAGGCACCCCAAACCTGATCAGCATAGAATTCTCCGCCGAACTTCATTACAAAGTGGACATCTTGCCTTGGATCATTTGCAAAGGGGACTGGAGCCGCTATAATGAAGCCAGGCCTCCTAATAATGGTCAGAAATGTACAGAGAACCCTTCAGAGGAGGACTATTACAGACAATTTCAGGAAGCGAGAGAGTACTGAGAAGGCGGAGGAAAGAAGGCAACTTCTTTCAGAGTCTGTGGAACACGGGCGGTTGGTCTACAGGACCCCAAATCAAAGAAACTCTCAGCATACAGATTTAATGTCCCATTCCTCCACTCACCCCAACTAACTGTATATAGTTGTATAGAATACACATTTTTTCATAAGTGTGTTATTTATATATGCATATAGAAATTGCATATGGACCCCTGTGCAAATAGACATTTATATAATGTTTTGCGTTCTCCACCAATGTAAGGTTTTGTGTTTTTAAAATCATGCTCAAGTAAGGACTGGGCTATCATTTTTTAATCTGTATGGGAAAAGCTCAGCTTTCAGTGGTTGAGGCAACAGAACTCAAAGAGTCCGTTTCTCAACTGCAAACCCCAGTTATGGGGCTTTTGCTGGTGGGTTATCCATCTAATGCATCTGAGAACTGCATCTGATGGTACTACTTTTGTTCTGAACAGCAGAGAGAAATATCAGCATCCACTGCCATTGTGCCTGTGCAGAAGTCAGGGACTTTGATTTGTGTCAAATACTACGTCTGTGTGATTGACTCTGGCGAGTAAAAGACTGTGATACCTAAAGTGTGGCTGACGCAATCAAATATCCCTTATTCTGCAAAGTGTACAAGTACCTCTGAAATATTTTTACTAAATCAAAGCCAAGGACTATAACCAGACCATTATTAAACAGTTTCTATACATAAGTTATTTAATACAAATGCAGCATAATTTCCTTAGAGATATATTGATGAAAATATTTAGACGTATTTAAGAAAAAGAAAGAGGGTTTTTTTAAAAGGGAAGGGCAGTAATTATTCGAGAGGAGGAACGAAACTGGTAGATACAATAATAGACAAAGCAAAACTCTCTTCATTCCCATTTTGGAGTTATACTTGCCTTGCAATTTAGCTTGGCAGAGGTCCAGTTACTAAGAGCTCTTAATAGCTCCAGGGATGTGAGCAGAAGTAAAGCACATTTTCATTACAGTTATTATTTTGTGCCACCACTCAAAGATAAGGCCTGGGGAGGGAGGAGCTGCATGGATAGTTAAAGTCCCTCAAAGTCTTCTTCACATATTGCCTTATTACAAGGATGTAAACACAGCAAACTCACGTATCATATAGCCACATTATTCTGGGACCCAGAACTGGCTGCATCTCCCTTTTGAGTGCCCATTTTGTTGACTAACTTTGATTTATCCTGCACAATGTGTGAAGCAGCCCTAAGCAAAATAACCTTAAGCAACTTGGAGCAGGCTTACCCGCTGTGCATAAAGCAAAAATGTGGGCAGTATCTTAAAAACTGGGAGTTGCAGTTAAAAACACACACATAACCGAATCAGTTAATTGGAAAAGTGTCAGAAATGCATTTCTGTGTTGAAGGCAAGTTTGCGCATGCACATTAGGTTCTGATTCATGTTATGACCAATGTGTTCCCATGTTCAGTTTATTCATAAACAACCACAGTTGCTGATTCTATGAGCTTTCACTCCTAGAGGGTCTGTATGCATGTTACACAGTCTCCATGTAGAAGCCACATTAATTTCTTCTCTGCACAGTGGTACCTCTGGATACGAACGGGATCCGTTCCGGATCCCCGTTTGCATCCTGAAGCGAACATAACCTGTGCGCGTGCGGGTCACTATTCACCGCTTCCACGCATGCGTGTGACATCATTTTGACCGTCTGCGCATGCACAAGCGTCGAAACCCGGAAGTAACACATTCCGTTACTTCCGGGTCGCCGCGGAGCACAACCCGGAAGCGCTCAACCTGAAGCATATTTAACCCGTATGACTGTAGTAGTGGCTTTGTTAGGAGGGCAGGGAACATTTTCTCCATGCCACTGCAGAGCAAGTCCCAATCCAACCAACATGAGAACTCTCAAGCCTACTGAATCCTACAGTGAATTTAAGTGCACTTGTCTATGTTTACACAGACAAACTCTACAACAGCAAAAGGAATATGGCCCAATCCACTCTACTGCCCTTGCACACGTGTCATGCTTTGCTAACATGAATGAATCAGCCATGGGAGAACAATTTAAAGCAGACTCCATGTGATACCGTTGTTGTTTGTTCAAACTCGTCTTCTGAAGGAACATACTGTAAAGAGATTTGTTCTTAAAATATGCCCTTGTTGTTATTTATTCTTGAGTCTATACCAAGTCATTCGGCCATATACCAAATAAATGCATAGTATTTTACGAAAGAAAGTCTATTCCTTAACAAAGTTTTTTTAAAAAAATATCAGTGAAGGGATGGAGTGTTATAACTTTACTGCATTCTTTTGTAGCGTATTTATTAAACTGCAGCTAACATGAATTCGGCAGAGTTAAAAGTGGCAAGCAAAGGGACTTTCTAAAAGGGACAATCGTGTTCCATAGAGAGCTGGTGCACAAATCCAGGTTTATCGATAAAGCCATGATGAAACATCTGTTAATTTGCATTCTCATTATGTGGATGTTAAATACAACAGGGAAGAAATGTGAAGGAATGTTTATGGCTCCATGAAGAAGGCCTGAGCAGGTGAGGGAGGGATGCCAGAATGAGTGAGCAGGTGACCCACCGACAGTGTCTTCTAGTAAAAGCATCTTAAAACAATTTTTGTATATGCTAATACATTCCATAAGGCTAATACATTCCTTACCAGGAGTTTGGGAACAGATTCACTGGTTTCTGTGACCTAGAATGAAAAATAAGGAAAATTTAAATGTAGCTTCCACAGCGAGGTCTAAGAAAACATTAACATCAGCCACTGCCACAAGACTTGTCAAGGTGATGGGAGGGAATTATTTTAGAATTTGTCTCTCACCTCATTCATTAAAATCCCATTGCTTCACCCCTGCCAAGGCTAGAAACACTTTGGCAGACCACAACAATATGTCTTCAGGCTACCTACAGCTTTTCCCAGCAGCAACCCTGGAACAGATCAGAAGGAAAAATATTTCTCCCTCTGTGGTCTTCAGGAATAGCATTTTAAAATAATAATAATAATGTTATTGTTTTTGCTTGGGGAAAAAAATGAATTTTATAGCCTGCTAGTTTTAGTATCCCATTGACAAGTGTGACAGAGCCAGGTCCAATTTTACTTCTGGCTCCAGCTTGGAGCAGTCCATTGATGGCTACGGCTTGATTTTGTAAATAATGAAGTGTGCGTTTGTGTATAATGTAATTAGATCTTCCTTAACATAACATGGCGTGTCCCTAATCAGAAAACCATAACGCCAAGCATTGAGCAACCCACAGAGACATCAGTTACGTGGTCTCTGTGTGTGTGGGAACTGCACAGTACATAACTTACAAGAGGTCTGCCTCTTCAGCACAGGTTTGCCTTATGACTGCTCTGTTGTCAAAGAATTTTGGAAAAAGAGCACTGGGGAAGGCAGGGGGAACTTGGGTATCTATGGCCCAAGAACATTCATGCACTGGGAACATGTGTGAGCTGCACTGAGTCAAGGTTCAGCCACCTGTGTGCTTACAGCATTTAGGTTAGACCAGCAACTATCAAATTGAAACTGTAGCACCCTGCTTGTGGTTAACGCTTAGCTGGAATGAAATATTCAACGCAGCAATAGAGAAATTAAATAATTATTTATTTGTCAGACAAATAAATGAGAGGCACAGTGGTATATGATTACCAAGCTCTGGCCTGGCCTCCTGCCATTATGGCCAGCACTTATATTCCCTTAATCCAGCCCCCTTTGCTCCTCCTGTGGCTGCCTCTGTCCCATCAGCCTGGTTGAAATTCCTATTGGCTGATTGGTATAACCAATCACAAAAATACACTCATATCCTCCTGTCCTTATAAGGGAGACAAAGAGCTATATATAAATGACAAATAAGTAATAATATATCTTACATGGAATCTTAATTACCAGCTCACCTCTTGCCCTCCTTGCCCTATTGCCTTCTAAAACAAATGGTTAATCTTAAATTTTTATCTTAAACATATGTCAAGGATCTTGAGTTTCACATCAATATTGAAAGATCTCCTTCATTTGAAGGTTTCTAAACAAATGTCTGACAACTTATATATCAGAATTGCTCGGATGGCGTCTTCTTGTCTGGCAGGGGGCTGGGCTCAATGGCCCCTGTGGTCTATTCCAACTCTAGGACTCTATGATTCTATGAAATAAGAATCTAACATCTAAATTTGTTACTTTCTAAATCCTTTGCATAGTTACATTTAAACCAATATATTTCATACATTATCATAGATAGCTTTTTAGAAGGATAAATTTCCTCAAAGTGAAAGGAAGGAACAGTTTACAGCCTCAAAATAAAATAGGAAATAAGCCTCTTCCCCTGTTCATACTCCCCCCCCTTCTCCAGCCAGTTGCTTGTTTTCCATGTGCTCTTGACCTTTTGTCCTGTGGCTCAAGTTTAAGGCACATGGTTTTATTTTACTGTTTACTAACTCTTAATTATGTTGGGTCCGTAACCTTGCTCTTTAACTTGTAATTCCAGCTTTTATGACTTTGAGAATTGTTTTCTGCTATAAATCAAGGGGGGGGCCCTTGTCTTAGGAGAATGGCCAAGGTTTTCTCTATAAACAGCTGGCCTTCTTGCCTGGCATGAAACATTTGAAAATCTAAGCCCATTTAATTTAGGAACCTGATCAAATATAAGCCAATATATGCCTTGATTAAAAATGCAGTCTATATTCAGATGCCACATTACCACAGAGAAAGCAACACATCAGCTAGCCAGGAACAAAGGAAGGGCAAGCGGATGTTGCAGAGGATTATTTAGAAGTTCAAGCTGATGCCGAAAAATGGAGGTAGGATTCAAATATTACCTTGCCTTCCAAGTGGTGTGAGTAATCTCTCAGAAATGCTTGCCACAAAAATGTTGTGCAAACTTGGGTGAGGGGGCCGGGTCATGCACTGTCTGCAAGATTCAGTTCATACCCCAATTCAGTCCCTGGAAAAACAGCCCGATTTGGTCCGAAGTGCTTCAAATCCTGCCCAGTTTGGTGCACATTTGAATCCTGATTTGGAGAAGTAAAGTTTCGTGCCTCCCCCATTCACTGTTACGGGGAAATTTTTAAAATGGCTATATTTCCTCTTCTTAGTAAAATTGGATGGAATCTGCAGGCATAGTAGCCCCTCCTGAGTGGACAGAGCTTACCAACTTACAGACAAATAGAGTTTTGTGCTGGGCACCGTCAAACAAAAAAAGATAAGGAAAAATCTATAATTTTTTTTAAAAAAAATTGAGGCAGAAGTAGATGAAATTTGCAGGCTTCTTGGACCCTTTCGAGGCGATGAAATCTGCCAAATTTCAGTATTACGTGCACAGACTAGTAGCAGCTCTCCAGGTTTGCAGGCAGGAGTCTCAACCCCATCTAGAGACACCAGGGATTAAGCCCAGAACATTCTGGACAAGAGCAGAGGCCCTGCTACTGAGGTACAGGCCTTGCACCTGCTCACTTTCCCCTCTCGCTTACAGTGTTCAACCTATAGCTGAAGAATACAGCTGCATTTCTGTTAAGTGAAGTAAACAAGTGATTCATAGTATGGTGGAAAGCCCAGAAGATGAGCAAGTTACTTCCAGGCTATTTCCTGGCATGCCTCACCAATTTATTTTTATGAAATATTAGCATTGAAATGTCCATTTCCTTACATCTCAGCACGTACATTTTCACCCTTGTCATAAGTCTGTGCCCTTGGGTCTGCTCAAAATGGGTACAGCAATTATCATGTTCCATTACGAAGACGGATAACATCGCACCAAGCCAAAAATGGATAGTTGTGTGTGTGTGCAGGGGGTAGAGATTGCTTGCACACAGGCCACAATCCAACACTTGAGTTGGACGTACTTAAACCTCTTCAAACCCATGACTTTAAGTGGCCCCTGGGCTGTGGGCCCTGGGACTATGGCCATAAAGAGAAAAGAGATGAGGTTTGGAGGTAGATTTGAGGCACATACATCACTGCAAACCTAACGTTGCCATCAGATGACACAGACCTGTTCAGCTGCATTTGCAATATGCAGCTGACATTCCTCAGCATGTAAGGTGGGGGGGGACCTATTACAATCCCCTCCCCCTACTCCACCCTCCAATTGTACAGAAGATGATAAAAATGTGTGGCATTCTCCCTCCAAACATATATCTGGTTATAATTTTTCAGTGGAAAGTTGCTCGGGCAGTTTCCGTTAGACTGCACCCACACGGTACAAGGCAAATTAAGGGACTGACTGGGTAATTACTAGTGCATGTGCATGCCCACAGATCTGTAAATAAAGGCAGGAAATCCCCCAGTCTTTCACTCTTCAGCTCACTCCCAGACAGTACGATTGTTAGGAACACATGGAAAATCCACCGGGTAGGTGAGATGATGCTCTTTGTACTTCACAGAAGACTGGTATTTAGTCACAGTTTCAACAAAACTCGGATTCCACGGCAGCGCTTCAAATGACAAGCCAGGCATGATGAAGGACCCAGCTTTGACTCTTAAACAGCCTTTTCAAAACAACAACATCACGCATGCAACAGGTTCGTAGATTTCTAGCCAGCCCCACAGAATGCTATTTTCTCCCTTAAAAGGGTTTATGCGATTCCTCTAAACACAATCAATGTGACACAGTGCGGTGTCTCCAACCAAGCCCTACTTGGAGTTAGGCCCAGGGCTGGCCCATCCATGAGGCAGACTGAGGCAGCCACCTCAGGCGGCTGAATCCAAGGGGCACTGCTGCCTCTGCTGGAGAAGTGGCAGCAGCGGTTTGTGGGTTCCAGCGAGATCTCGCAAGAGCTTCATGGGGCTGCGAAATCTCTCCCGAACCCAGAAACTGCAGTCCTGTGACCCTGGGAAGTGAGGTTTTGGTGGGGCGGGTACCAAATGGACATGCAGGGCAGCCCTTTCCTGTTTCTCCTCAGGTGGCGAAACAGGATGGGACACCTCTGAGCAAACCCATTGAGATCAATGGACTGATGGGTCCAATCTGAGCAGGACTTAACCAATTACACCTCATTGCCTTTTGCCGCCTTCTGCCAGACAAGAACAGGACAGAACTATGGTCTGCTTTGAACTTTTAAGATGGCCAGGGCTGAAAAGGATTGACACCTTTCCTTGACATCTTCTCTTTGCAGGCTGTAAGTACTGTAAAAGGTAAAGGGACCCCTGACCATTAGGTCCAGTCGCGGATGACTCTGGGGTTGCGGCGCTCATCTCACTTTATTGGCCGAGGGAGCCGGCGTACAGCTTCCGGGTCATGTGGCCAGCATGACTAAGCTGCTTCTGGCGAACCAGAGCGGCGCACGGAAACGCCGTTTACCTTTTCGCCAGAGCGCTACCTATTTATCTACTTGCACTTGACATGCTTTCGAACTGCTTGGTTGGCAGGAGCAGGGACCGAGCAACGGGAGCTCACCCCATCATGGGGATTCGAACTGCCGACCTTCTGATCGGCAAGTCCTAGGCTCTGTGGTTT